CTAAGAAGAAAAACCAGCGGGCTACCATACGCTGGATGACATAAAAAGTGTTATCTCAGATACGATGAAAGAAATTAAATTGAATGCAACACTCTGTGGACAATCAAGTACAGCATTGTGTGAAGTGCAGGACGTGTCTCGCTCCCTGCCTCGGTCCTATGCTTCGGTCGCTAGTTGCGGAGGTGCCATCCGCGTTGCCAGTGGACCAACTGTAAATGTGCTTTCTTCAACATCTTTCCTAATTATGCCTAAAGAAGGGGTTGCTGGGTACGAGTCATCTTAGGCTACTAAAGAGGTGCTAAGTAAAGTATTCAAGTCTTCCGATTGCGCACTTTAAATCAATAGAGTGTCTTTTGCTCACAAGAATTGTGTCAAAATCGATACACTTTCTCCGGATATCGATCTTATCAAGGCTCATCCGAGATTGGCCAAAGCGATCTTGAGGATTGTCGAAAGTTTAAAGATTAATCCAAGACTCATTATCCACAATGTTCCTGCAAATATGTCCCCTGATGAAATTGCGGATGAAATTACTGCGCAAAATTCGAACAATCTAAGTAAAGCTGACTTAAAAGTAGTCTACCTGTTTCCTGCAAGGTCTGATAGTCGCACGACAAGTTGTGTTTTGGAAGTTTCTCCTTCGATCAGAAATGTACTACTGAGCCGCGGTCGCGTCTATCTGGGATATTCGGCGCGCAAGTTTGCTGATTATGTGAAAGTTTTACAGTGTTATAACTGCCTGGTATTTGGACACTTAGCCAAGAACTGTAGATCAAAAATGATATGTGGTTATTGCAGTGAAGAACACTAGATGAGAGACTGCAATAAGAAACCGTCTCTTAAATGTGGCAACTGCTCGCGGAGCAAGAATTTTTCTATCGGAGACCTAAATTATGCTGCCACGGATGCAAAGAAGTGTCCTATCTTGAGTCGAAAAATTTCTCACAAGGTATCATATATCAACTATGGATAATAGAAGACTCGATAGCCTGTAAGTATGTCACGTTAACTGCCAGTCTCTGGTGGCTCATTTTGATGAATTTGGCATCTTCTTCCACAAATCAAAGTATCATGCTATCTGCATATCTGAATCTTGGCTAAAACCTGAAATCTCTTACTACATGATCAGTCTGCGAGACTATACTTTGGTTAGACGTCACAGAGTCGGCAAGGGCAGGGGAGGCGTGGCTTTTTATTTACTCAACACTCTTAGAGCCTTTATATTTTAAAAACGTTTGAAGGACTATATTGTCGCAAACCCGAATATATTATTGCAGATATTTCCTTATCAGATTCTGCTAATCTACTTCTCGCGGTAGTATACCGACCACCTAACTGCGGCTTCTTGCACAAATTTGAGAGTGCCTTCCTTGATCTACAGGCCAACTATTGCCAAGCATTGCATAATTCTTGGTGACTTTAACTCGGACTTACTCGTCGCGTCTTAAGATGGTGCTAAGCTACTCACGTTCGTTGAGTCGGCTGCTCTTCAGTTGGTACCTTATCAGGCTACGCACAATTTGGCACATTCCAGTACTTTATTGGACCTGTGCATAGTTGATGACTTTGAGAAGGTCATTGAATATGGACAACATGCGGTGCCGTTTTTGTCTGCGCACGATCTCATTTACGTGGCTTACAACGTCTGTACTGAACGTTTGCATGAAAAGTCGGTAACTTACAGAAGCTTTAAGGATTTTGACGAAGCTGCATTTATCCGCGATCTACAGCGTATGGACTGGAATGTGTTGTTGTCTTTGCCTTCACTTGACAAGAAGATTGACATTTTAAATTGGAATGTGCTTCACTGCATGGACATGCACCTCTTTGATGTGGCACATTTAGAAGGTTCCCTGCGCTTTAGTTGACTTACGAGATTAGAGAGGCAATGAAAAGCAGGGACAGAGCTTGTAGGAGATGGCACAGAAATCGCGGGACAGATTTATATACTGTCTTATTTATATCTTTAAAAGACTCAGGAATGACGTGCAAAATATAGTGCGATCTGTCAAAAACAAGTAGTACCTAACACTGTTCTCCAACGCTAAAAACTCGGGCACTGTGTGGTCTGAATTGCGTCGGTTAGGACTGATCAAAGCAAGGAATGTGAGTGGGCGCTTATCCAAAACTATATTGAGGAACTGAACAATTACTTCGTGCAAGTGGCTGGAGGCATAAGTGTTTCAAGGCAGTTTATGATAACGGACGTTTCGCAGGAGATCTTCGACGATCGGAAGTTTTATTGGAAATACGTCGGCCCACAGGATATCAACCGGGTATTTTCTAGAGTAAAATCCAATGCCACTGGCTTAGACGGTATCTCTCTCAAAGTTATTAATCTCGTCTTGCCCTACATTATGCTAATCATTGAGCACATTTTTAATCATTCCTTATCTTATGGGATTTTTCCGGACTGTTGGAAGACGTCAGTAGTATGTTCTATCGCAAAAATTAAGAATCCATCTTCTCCCAAGCACTTTCGACCTATCGCTCTGCTCCCAACGATATCTAAGGCCCTTGAGAGAATAGTCTGCAAACAAATCCAAACTTATCTAGAAGAAAAGGACCTTGGGGATCCTTATCAGTTTGCTTACAAGAAGGGCCATTTGACTCAGACCAGCGTCGTCAAGGTTCTTGATGACATCAGATGGGCCGGAGACAAAAGAATGATCACGGTCTCTATCCTTTTTGATATCTCAAAAGCATTTGACCGGGTGCAGTGCTCTATTTTGCTTGACAAACTTGCCAACTGCAATTTTTCGGGCCTCATACTACATTGGATCAGGTCCTACTTGACTGGTCGGTCGCAGGTGGTTTGTGATCCGACAAACTCTAGACTGTCTTCCTTGGCTACCATCGGTGCTGGTGTCCCGCAGGGCTCAGTACTGGGACCTCTATTATTTGCATAATATTTTAGGGATTTTGGTAGCACTGTGACTTACTGTAAATATAATTTCTATGTTGACGATCTGCTTTTATATCTGCACTGTGAACCACTTGACCTAATTGATTGCATTGCCAAGATTAACTTTGACATACAGAATATCATCTCCTGGATATCTGGGAGCAAGCTTATGTTGAACACAGAGAAGACTCAAGCAATTATCTTGGGTTCAACTAAGTATATTAACGCAATCAACTATGATCTGTTGCCTAACATCTTGGTAGATAACATAATAGTTCTTTTTTCGTCTCAAGTCAAGTACCTAGGAGGTACCATTTCTAGCAATCTCTCTTGGGAGAAGCACGTTACGAATGTTGTTGGCAAATCTCGCAGAGTGTTACACCAGCTAAAACTTTGCAAGAACTTGTTACCTCAAAAACTCAAGCAGAATCTTGTCATTGCGTTGATTTTTCCGCTTTTTGACTATTGCTGTTGCATTATGACGGACATATCTGCTGAGCATAACCAAAGACTACAAAAAGCAATGAATAATTGCATACGCTTTATTTTTGGAATTAGAAGAGTCCTGCATATAACACCTTATTATGAAAAGCTTCACTGGCTGAAAATTAAATCAAGAAGAACTTACTTTGTCTGCTGTCTTCTGCATCACATATTAACGATTCACAAGCCTTTAATCTTGTTCAAAATATTCCATAAACGCAACACTACATCCAGAAGCACCAGAACATCTGCCAACAAACTCATTATGCCTCTCTGTCGTACTGAGACCTTTAAGAGATCTTTTACATGTTCAGCCGNTGNAGCATGGAATACNNTGCCGTCTGATNTGCGNGCAATTGAGTCTCNNANNCTATTCAANTCGTNNGTATTTGATTTCTTGCTAGATAGTAGCAGCTCTGGTTGCACCTAAATGCTTACTTTTTCATATTTCTGTTTGCTTAATCAGCTCTTTTTCTTTTTATTCTTTTGCTTTGTTTTCACTTTGTTCATAATTTTTACTATTTTGTTAAATTTTCGTTAATTTTTACATGTTTTTGTTAATTTTTGGTAAGTTGATTATTCTTTGTTTTAATTACTTTGTTATAATTACTGTATTTGATTCTGTATTTCTTATGCTTTGCGCTCAAGAGAATACTATCCCAGAGCGCGTAATAAATGACGCCTTTCTCTCTCTCTCTCTCTCTCTCTCTCTCTCTCTCTCTCTCTCTCTCTCTCTTTCTCTCTCTCACTCTTTTTTCCACTCTTTCTTATTCTCTCTCTCTCTCTCTCTCTCTCTCTCTCTCTCTCTCTCTCTCTTTCTCTCTCTCTCTCTCTCTTTCTGTGTGTGTGTGTGTACACACACACACACACATACACACACATATATATATATATTTGTACATTAAAATTCTTTAATAACTACTTTGTTTCTTAACTTTTGTCAATATGTGTGTGTGTGTGTATTAAACTGTTATTAAATGTTCCATCTACATTAAGTTCCGTTGATTGTTGTAATTTTTGCAACAATTCGTTACTTGTGAATATTAATGCATTTTTTCCATCGCTGCAGATCACATTTCCTTTGTAAAATCTCGCAAGAGGTTTATATATTAACCTTTAGAGTGCCGGAAAACTAATATTTTGCACCAGAATAACTTGTTCAATTTCTTTTGTTTTTTTATTAAATATTAATGTTCTTAATATTATTAGCAATTTTTAATATTATTTAATGTCAATTTGCCCGTCCCTCTCTCACTCACCCCGTACCCCTAATTTTCATGTGAGACATTTTAAAACAAATACATGGNTTGATTCGCGTGCGGCTGCAATTATAAACAAATTTATTTTTATTTGGGGTTTTTGAAGTTGCTATTTACTAGTAAAACAATTTGGCAAAATTGTGAATAGCAGATCAAAAATATATTTATTGATTCGGCCTGGCCGTTTATCGTCGTCCGTCTTTGCCATACGTGATAACGGCGCGTAGGAGCACCTGCCGCCTCGCGTTCTCTGTTAGGTAAGGCTCGAGATACACTTATTTTTTTTACTTGTGTTGATACAACATTTTCCGTTACTTTTTATCTTCCTCGTACTTTATTACTTTTGCTATACAATGAATACAGGTGATGACGAAGCTTGGAGTAGTGGAGAGTCAGAGCCTGAAGAAGATGTTATTACAGACAGAACTATTGCTTGTGATGTTGATTTACTTGATAACAAACGTGATGAGAATATACCAGATGTACACTATGATCCTTATTTTTACCCATCTATAAAAACTTTTACTGGTAAAGCACGTATTCGTGATCACGTGTCTCTAGACGAACCTACTCCATTAGAATGTTTGAAATATTTTTAAAAATACATTTCTTGTAAATTTGATTGTAGAACAAACCAATCTTTTTCAAGAACAAAATCCCGAACCAGATCGAATACATATGAAGCAGTGGACTCCTATTAGTGAAGACGAATTATGGATAATGATTGCTTTATCAATAAACATGGGTCATGTTGTAAAAGGGCAACTACAGGATTGGAGCCAAGATCCACTGCTGTACACTCCAATATACGGCGAAAGTCTATCTCGAAATAGATATCTTCAAATTTTACGATACCTTCACTTTTTTAATAATGAAGAAGTTTCCAATCATCCTTTGAAAAAAATCAAACCAGTGATAGATCATTTGAAAGAAAAGTTTGGTAATACTATTATTGCTGGTAAAAAGCTTTGCATTGACGAAAGTTTAGTCTTATAAAAAAGGAAGCTAAAATTCAAACAATTCTTACCATTGAAGAGACACCGATTTGGTATAAAGATATTTGAATTAGCGGACTGCGAAACAGGACTTCTCTTAGATTTTATAGTATATACTGGCTCAGACACTGATTATGAGAAATTTGATTTAGGCGGTTCTGGTAATATTGTTGCACATTTCATGCACCCTTATTGTAACGAAGGGCGTGTGTTATACACTGATAATTGGTATACATCTCCACAACTGTCGGACTACTTACATGACAGAAGTACTGGTCTTTGTGGAACTGTAAAAAAAATCGTAAAGGAATGCCAACTCTCAGTTCAAAGCTAGATCGTGGTGAAACAGAAGTTCCCACACCGATTCTTGGATGGTAATCAAATGGATGGATAAAAAGGAAGTTTATGTATTGACAAGTATTCACGAACACCAGTTTTGTAAAACTGGTAGGAAAAACTACAAAACCAATGAAGAAATTATAAAACCCATTTGTATCGTGGATTAAAACAAAAATATGGGTAAAATCGATGATATCGGCAGACAATTATCTTTGACAGAATCTATTAGAAAATGTATGAAATGGTATAAAAAATTGTTTTTTCATTTAATTGATTTGATGTTGATAAATGTCCACAGCTTATTCAAGATGCTCACTAAAAATGTGATTTCATTTTCTGATTTTTGATTGAGCGTCGTAAGAGATATTTTGCAAGTAAATTTTCAAGAAGTTTTATCATTTACATTGCCTGATCTTAGACTGAATGGACGACATTTCCCCAGAAAAATTCAAGCTTCAAATGATGGTAAAACGCTATCACGTCAATGTGTTCTATGCACTATACACAAAAAAAGTCGATCATCATATGAGTGTAAAAAATGTTGTAAAACTTTATGCATTGAACCTTGCTTTGAAATTTATCACACTAAACGATCATTGTCGTAATTTATAAACTTAAAAAAAGCAATAAAAAAATTTTAAAAAATATCAGAAAATAAACAAAAAATCAAAAACAAAAAACACAAAATTGAATAAAAAATAAAAGAAATAAAAAAAATTTAAAAAATAAAAAAAATAAAAAAACAAAAGTCAAAAAATCAAAAAAGAAAAAAATAAAAAAAAAATAAAAAAACAAAAACAAAAAAAATTAAAATAAAAAAAAAACAAATCTGTCACAGACGGTCCCAAACCCGTGTTCAAAAGAAGAGGGTGTTTCAAAATCATACGTGATAAAACGGGTAGTTTTTGTAATATTATAAGGGTTATGTGTCCAGGTGTATTGTTTTTGACATTGGATTTTGATTCTACATCGAAAAATACATCGGAAACATATATCTGCACTTCTAACTAAAAAAATTGAAATTGCGTAATAGAAAGGGTAGTTTTTGTAATTATATAGGGGTTGTTTTCAGGTTTATTGTATTTTTGACATCAGATTTGGATTCTACGTCGAAAAATACATCGGAAACGCATATTTATCTTTCCAAATTGATGTGAAAAAAATTTTATATGCGGGCCTATCCCTTCCGAACCGGAAAGCCAATATATTGGCGCTACCCAAAATCGACACTTAGTGTATGGTCAATCCATGATATAAGATACCTTTTTTACCACTTTACCAAGGCGGATATGCCCTCTCAAATCCCGGCCCTCTAAAGGTTAATAAATTTGCAGCAAAAGTCTTCATGTCTTTTGGTAAACTTGGACAAAGTTTAATTCTCTCACAATATAATGTAGATTTTAATGTTATGTATGAAAATGTTGCAGCTGTTTCAGAATATCTGATTACAAACAACAAATATATATAAGCTACAAACAACAATCATAAATTTTACAGTAAATTTTACTACTATAGTACATTTTACACAATTAGAATTAATAATATTTGAACAAAAGATAGTTACGATTTATTTCTGAGATTAAACAAAAGCATATAAAATTTAAAATTAAAGTGAACAAATAGATAACACAGATGTCATGTGGTTACATATTGCAAATTACTTGGACTATTTAAATTTGATCTTATTTCTTCAATGTAATTATTTGTGGACTGCTGTTTTTCTCTGCAAGAAACACGTAATATTTAATACTTAACATTTTATAACAACAATTGCATAAGCACGTGAGAAGATGAAACAATGTATCAGGATCAAGGCGAGTCAATGTGTACATAGATTGGATCTTTTTTTATTAAATGTACAATCTCATAAAAGTAAAGACATTTTGATTTTTTTTGGTCTTTTCAATAAACAATAATAAAAAATGAAACATTAATTTAAAAGTAATAGCAGAAATTACGGAAAGCATAATAACGACGTTCTTCAGTTAAAAAAATAATAAAACAAGGGACGAACAAATTTACTTTAACTCACTATATACATATATACAGGGGGGTGATACTCTATTGACCACAGTACGATTCGACACCGCTCGATTCGACACAGATTTATTCGACACCAAATTATTCGACACCGTAC